AAGATAACTTTCATCACAGTATGCTAGGTAAACTAGCATAATAATTGGATATTATTAGCAATCCTTACTATTAAAATGTTTCCTTTCCATAATATTCATCCGTTGATAATTTTAAACTAAAAGTAATATAGCCTAGCTCTTCCTTGTTGAGAATTCGTATTGCTTTTTTATCCTGTGCCCTTTAGATGATTATTTAAAAAATCAAAAGAATACTTTGGGAGAATAATATTATTAGTATGATTCAATTATTGAGTTGATTGTAGGTTAAGAAAAAGCAATAAAGAGTTCAATAATTTTGTTTAGCAGGAATGTGTAAGTAATTAGCTGTTGAAATGATGATAAACTGAGACTCACACAAGGAACATAGTCATAGTGAAAGTTTAGAGAAATTGTCATAGTGCTTTAATTTTTCACTTTTTTTATTATTATTATTAAAAAAAATAATAATAATAAAATAAAGGAGCTAGTAGATTTATATTTTTTATTGCTTTCTGACTCCTCCACACACACACGCATGCAGCAAGGACAAAGGCTTAGACAGCTAACCAACAAATATGCTATCAAGGACAGTGTAGGAGACACGCCCCCACTGTGGGCACTGTTCTTGGTAATTGTGGGTGCACTCATTCCAGTTTTCTAGATGAATAGCTTTTAGCTGTTTGTGTATATATATGTATATTTTTTAAAGGTGATTAGGCATCTAAATGAGTGCAGATAGTTTATATATACATTATCATAAGATTTATGTTATAGAATGTGAGGTAGAAATTGTCTTGTATCTCTAGTGGAAGTGTGTTTGCTAAAACAAATATCTTATTTTTTATGAAAATTTAAATTTTGAGAAGAAACAGGTCATAATGTAGAAGAAAATGTGTTTAAGAAGAAATGAAAAATTATATACAGTTCAGATTGATAAGAACATCATCTACAAAATTGAGTTGGTTTCAAGTGTGAATGGAAATGAACAGTCACACATAGAGTCAGTGCTCTTATAACCTATTTGTGAAGGATGATATTGGTTGCAACTCTTTAGAAAGATGACTTTGCTGAAATGGGTTTATGCAGTGTCAGAAGCAAGGAGTTTCTTTGATGTGGTTTTCTTGCCTTTTCTTGTTTTTCTGGTTGTTGTTGGAGTTGATAATTGATTATTTTTGATAATTTTGAGAGTACTTATACTTGGGCTATCCATTGTTATTTTGTTTTATTGATGTTCACATGTAGATGACTCCAGATG